AAGCCCAGGGCCAGTTACCTAACCTATCGATGAGTGGCGCGTAATAACTACAGCCTCTCTTCCGTTTGAAAGCGTAGATTCCGTCGGGATCTTCCTGTTCCTCCTGATCCGACATCTGGTCAGCGATAGGCGAAGTGCTGTCCGCCTCGTCGTCGGAACTGTTAAACACGTAATCGTTGTCATGAACTTCGACGCGAACCGGAGTAATGGATGGCTCATCCCGTTTATCACGGCGTTTATAGACACGTTTACGTCGGGGCTGAGAGTGCTCTTCATTCTAGTCATCAAAAAAGCATTTATTAATAAAACAAATCATTTGCCAACAAATTATAATCAATTACCCGAACCCTCGGCCGACCGACACCTCGTTCAGCCATTTTCGCGCTCTGATTATTGAGCGACAAATAGGTAGACGACGGCCTTATGTGCCGAAGCGCTGATACTTCGCTAATGATTTGTCCGCTAAAGTCTCCCATTTGGTATCTGAAGACATTAATCAATGTTTAATTAAAACAACAATTTATAAATATCATCACAAATTGCATACCGTTTCTCATAGACATCGACCGAACACTTGAGATGTTCTCGTTTTAACTTTTCCCTATGTTTTACAAAATCTAATAGATTTCTGTAAAAATCAAATTGAATACAAAAAACAATTAATGGATGAATGATATGATGAATGGGTTATAGCATGACATACACAGCACGGCTCAGATCGCGCCTCAATTTCAACATTTTCTCATAAGATGTTTCGTCATTCTTGCGGTTCTTTCGGGTTTGCATTTTCTCAGTCCTGCGCCTGAAGGCGACGTACGGGTTGTTTCCGGTCGAGCNGACATACACAGCACGGCTCAGATCGCGCCTCAATTTCAACATTTTCTCATAAGATGTTTCGTCATTCTTGCGGTTCTTTCGGGTTTGCATTTTCTCAGTCCTGCGCCTGAAGGCGACGTACGGGTTGTTTCCGGTCGAGCCGTCCCTCTTCTCGCACTTCACGATTGGGATCAAAGGCTGTTGTGTTTTGAGTCGTTTGTTGAGCCAATAGTCGTAGACAGCGATAATCAAGTCGTCGTCCTCTTTGAGCAACAGTTTTGCCTCTTTGAGTGTCACGACGTGTTGTCCGCTACTCTTCTCCAGCCTTTCCATTATCTCCTCGAACTTGAGTGATGTCAACGCTATCTGATTGGACTGCAGACTGAGCCACTGTTCGTCCTCCGAGTCCATGTCGTAGTCAGGGATGTCCTGTTCGATGGCCAACAGTTGCATGTGAATCATTTGGCGCGGGATCTTATAGTTTGGCGGATAGAGTTCGTCGTAATCCTTCTCAAGCGATGGATACACTTCGGGCGTTGGGATCACGTGCTCGACGGTGTGGCCAAACGCCTGTTGCGCCGATATAGCCCTCTGGAGGTGATGTTCCTGTCGTTACGGCAAACAAAAACACATTAGTCTTCAGTTATGACAACAATTGGCCCTCAAATTGGCCACCAATTGTCACGACTCCGCGCAACCGTCGCCTTAAGACATGTACGCGAGTGGGCACGGGTTGCGCGGATCCGTTGACAAGTGGTGGCCAATTGGCGGTCATTGTTATTGTTGTGGTAGTGGTGTCTTCACTCACGCATTCCTCCTCCTTCTCCATACCGGTGGGCATCTGAGGTACGGCCCGATTGATGGCCGCAAAGTCGGGCAAATCGGGCACCTCTTCGGCCCTGAAGACGGGCATCGGTTTGGTTGAGTCGAGCGCTCGCGCCCTGAATGACAGCTTTGACATCGCTTTACACACAACCAAAACAATTGGCACTTCTTATGGGGGATTAGTTTTGCCACAAATGGCTCACTATATGCTCGTCGCGGCCCTACAGACGGCCAATTGTGGTCACCAAACGGATCCGGAGGCGTCCAACTGCACTACTAATCCATTTTAGGTGATTAACACTGCCTTAAGAACACAACAATCGGGGTATAAATTGTGCACATTTTGTATGCAATTAATCGTAACAAATATGGCGGACAAACAATACAAACATTGAGTCAATCATTGCATTCACAACACATTCACAACACACACAACGCTATACAACGCTATACCAAACCATTCACTCCATTCACTCACCACGACATCCCTCACGACATCTCCACTCACTTTCACCACAACTCACTCCCCATTCGTGACCAACAGATGGCAGTCACAGCTCTATAACCACTTTCACAACCATTTTCACTATCGAATCGTTTATTCGTTCGCTTTTTAGGCATCAATTCATGCATTCATTCAAAACTTTTTGTCACTTTTTCTTCTTATCAGATAATAATGTGTTGAATGAATAACTGGTTTATTATTTACGCTAATTATTACTAATTATTAATTACCATAATTTCACATAATATGTAGAACTTATTATTTTTAAGTTTTTACGCAATTTTTGATTGAATTTTACGATTACTTAACTTTTAACTTATTGTCAACATGTAATAATTATTGTATATTTATAACTTAAGAAATTATAAGTTTTATTCACTTTTTATTAATTTTTTAATTGTTTTTGTTGTTGTAATTTACGTAAAAATATAATTTCATTTGTTTATAGCATTCATTCATTCATTCATTCATTTTTGAGTAATTTTGATACAAGTATTGCAAGCGATGTATGAAATGATTTATTATTAGAATTTCTGGAATTGTTTTTCTAAATTATAGTTACAAGTTGTAACTTACAACAATTGTAATAAATATATGTAATGTTAGACACTTCTCTTCCCTGTCAAATATATTCCAGGAAAATTTTGTTAAATGTATATGATTGATTTATTTTTTGAATAAAACTTAAAAAGGCGCGAAATATTTGGACATAATTAGCATTTAATGGATGCATTGGTTTTATTGACATTTATATCTTCCGGGATATTCCCATTTGTTGGAAATATATTGAGAAAATCGATTGAAAAAGTGGTCTCCAAAATATAAGTTTTAAAATAAATTTATTTGTATTTTTCCGGATATTAAGTACATTTGCGCACTGAGTTTAGCCCACATAAACAAAAAGCTCACCAACTTTTCCATGTTACCTCTATGGGATGTTATAGGTTGTGATACTCATATACCATTTATTTGTTTTAAAAATCCTAAAACAAGTATTAATTTATATTTTATTATAAACATTTTGGTTAACTTGTTAAAATTGGTTAAGTATATTTTGAGTTATCACTAACTCTCCACTATTAGAAGTAATAGAATTCGAAGAGTTTGTGAGCTTTTGGTTTCCCGTAACTCATACTCCTTTCCGATTGCAATCAGTTTCTATCAATTCTATTGTCTGTGAGAGGAATAGCGTTCAAAAATACTGATCCCCCAAATCGGACGTATCATTCATTGTCTTAATATTCGGTCAATTCTTCAAATAGCAAAATAAAAATTTGATGACAAAATGGCAGATAATTGTTGATTAAAATAAAATTAAAATTCCTATTGATTCACGTTAATTATTTTTAAAAAATAATTAAGGTTTGAATACATAAAATATTAAGACTATAATATTTCGTTTCCAGTAATATAAATATGGACACAACTGTAAAATTAACATTTTCAAAGTAATCTAACTATTTAATCAACTCATTCTGAGAATATTCTGATAATACCCTAATATTTATAAACAGAAAGAATCAAGTTATTACAAGTTTTCCTAAATTTCTTCACTGGTGTAAAAAAGTATGTGGGTGAATTTCATACATTAACATGTTTAAGTTGTCAAAAATGGTCAATATACTAATTTCAGTAATTTTAACCACAATGAATAATGTGGTTTATAGAATCGTTCGACTTCCTCACCCTATTAAAGCTGAACTGTGGTTAAAGGTGAACATGAGATTCCAGCTTAAGTTTATGACATAGGTTTAACATGGGTAATGCTAAGTCAATGGACAATGTTAAGTCCATTTGGTATATAAAGTTTAGTTTTTAAAAATTGATCAAGTACTTTTTGAGTAATAGCTAGAGCAGAGATAATTCGGGACTAAAAACAACCAAATTCAGTCGGGAATCGGGAGTAAAACAGTCAAATTCGGGAATATTCGGGAATTAACATTTATTCCGTTCAAACACAAGAATTATAGATTTAAATCACTTTAAAATGAATTATAGGTAGAATGACATAGAAATTGAACTTTTACTCTTGAAGTATGTTTTCAATTTGTAAGAATATTCTTAAATTGAAAGAAAATTCGTTCAACATGGTCAAACCAATTTAATGTATATTTTGTTAGACATTTTATCTCAAAATTTTGTGAATATTTATAATAATATTTTTAGTGTTTCTTGAAAAAGAGTGCGTTTTAGCCTATTTTAAATAAAATTTCAGGATTTTCCCTAAAATATGTCAAAATCGGGAATGTTCTCAAAATAAGCTAAAATCGGGAATATTCTAAAAATATGCCAAAATCGCGAGTATTCGGGAAAATAAAAATGGCATATTTGACTCCATTATAACATTTAAGATTAACTGGATATTATTCCCGAACATTTTATTAACTAATTTTATTCGGGAATTCCCGAAGAATCTCTGCTCTAGTAATAGCTCTTACTGTCCATAAAGAACAGCATAAAATTTAAACTAGACTTGCAAGATGGATTCCCTCTTATCAAAAAAAAGGGAAGAGGGACGGGAAATGATAATTGGAAAAAGTTGCATGTCTAATTTAAACATTATTCAATGAAATTCATATAATAAAATACATTTAATTTTTTAATGTTTGCTAATAATAGTGATCACTTTGTCCAAACCCGAAATCAGGCCATATTAAGTATACCACTAAATTCTGTACCCAAATAGACTATGAATCATAGTTTAACTAATTTATAATAATTTTAAGCAAAATGTGAATAATTCAATCACTGCCTCGAAATTTTCAAATTTAAATCATTGGAAACTTTTATTCAGAGTTTAATCTTATTGTTTACTTAATAATTATTATTTAATTAGAGATGTGTTTATATGGAAATATATTTTAATCAAACTATAACTTTGATTGTAATTATGTTTAATATTTGGTGTAAATAGATATTAATATTAAATGACTCCAAATTGATAGAAATGATGACAGTTTGCAAATTCAGATCAAAACCAGTGTATATTTGCAAACACTTGTTAATTGAATAAATAATCAATAAAATGATGAGTTGTTTGACATTAATTGCGATAATAGATATCAATTCAAAATTTCCTTTGAATTTCAAATGAAAGCTAAGGTTATTATAAAACAGCAACAAATTTGACAATAAATGACATAATTATCGCAATTTCTTAATAATTATTAATTAAATGAATTAAGATTACAACACAATTCCAATTAAAATTAAATCTTTATTTAATACTTAATATATTCAATACTTTATTGATTCAAAAAATTAAATCCGATTTAATCACTAAATATTATAAATCAGATAATTATTATTCGTGAGAATCATTTAAATTGCTTACAAAGCAATTAAATGATAAAAAAAACTTACAATTTAATAAAACCTACAAAAAACAGATCAAAACTGGAATTGAGATTAACTGCAGATATATTCAACTCATAAGAGTGTGAATTGAAAAACAAATGTCTAAACCTATAATCAATTATTACTATTAAAACATATAATCAATCGACAGATAAAGTGATTCTTCGGATCAGATCTAATAACTAGAGACCAGTTGTCGTCTAAAATCTGGGTCTGGGATGTTCGTAATTGGCATGGTCAATTTGCGACCAGAACTACAACACAAACAAAACAAGTGACAATGCGTGGATCAGATGCGGTGATCACTCGTACAAACCTTATACTGCTTCTTGTCGTACTCCTGCCACGGCTCGGGGTTTCCCTTCTTATTCCAGCTGTTCGTCCATTCAATACAAAAACAAATCAATTAAAATGCTATTCAATGGTCAGACAATAGGTGTGGACACAGACCAGACATCTGGGTTTCTGGTGGCGAGTCTCAAGAGGTAATAACCGGCCCAAACACCACCCAAACCCGCGAAGAAGAATAATGGGATCAACTGTTGGCAAAAGAGACAAAATATTACATTAACTGCATTTAGAGGTCATGTAAAACACTAACCGATGGGTTCTTGCGGAGACCCGCGGCCGAGAAATTCTCGGCCGCGGGTCTCCGCAAGAACCCATCGGTTAGTGTTTTACATGACCTCTAAATGCAGTTAATGTAATATTTTGTCTCTTTTGCCAACAGTTGATCCCATTATTCTTCTTCGCGGGTTTGGGAGGTGTTTGGGCCGGTTATTACCTCTTGAGACTCGCCACCAGAAACCCCGACGTCTGGTCTGTTGTCCACACCTATTGTCTGTGAATTGAATAGCATTTTAATTGATTTGTTTTTGCATTGAATGGACGAACAGCTGGAATAAGAAGGGAAACCCCGAGCCGTGGCAGGAGTACGACAAGAAGCAGTATAAGGTTTGTACGAGTGATCACCGCATCTGATCCACGCATTGTCACGTGTTTTGTTTGTGTTGTAGTTCTGGTCGCAAATTGACCATGTCAATTACGAACATCCCAGACCCAGATTTTAGACGACTAATGGTCTCTCGTTATTAGATCTGATCCGAAGAATCACTTTATCTGTCGATTGATTGTATGTTTTAATAGTAATAATTGATTATAGGTTTAGACATTTGTTTTTCAATTCACACTCTTATGAGTTGAATATATCTGCAGTTAATCTCAATTCCAGTTTTGATCTGTTTTTTGTAGGTTTTATTAAATTGTAAGTTTTTTTTAATCATTTAATTGCTTTGTAAGCAATTTAAATGATTCTCACGCGTAATAATTATCTGATTTATAATATTTAGTGATTAAATCGGATTTAATTTTTTGAATCAATAAAGTATTGAATATATTAAGTATTAAATAAAGATTTAATTTTAATTGGAATTGTTGTAATCTTAATTCATTTAATTAATTATTAAGAAATTGCGATAATTATGGCATTTATTGTCAAATTTATTGCTGTTTTATAATAACCTTAGCTTTCATTTGAATTGATAGCTATTATCGCAATTAATGTCAAACAACTCATCATTTTATTGATTATTTATTCAATTAACAAGTGTTTGCAAATATACACTGGTTTTGATCTGAATTTGCAAACTGTCATCATTTCTATCAATTTTGGGTCATTTAATATGAATATCTATTTACGCCAAATATTAAACATAATTACAATCAAAGTTATAGTTTGATTAAAATATGTTTCCATATAAACACATCTCTAATTAAATAATAATTATTAAATAAACAATAAGATTAAACTCTGATTAAAAGTTTCCAATGATTTAAATTTGAAAATTTCGAGGCAGTGATTGGTTTATTCACATTTTGGTTAAAATTATTATAAATTAGTTAAACTATGATTCATAGTCTATCCGGGTACAGAATTTAGTGGTATACTTAATATGGCATGATTTCGGGTTTGGACAAAGTGATCACTATTATTAGCAAATATTAAAAAATTAAATGTATTTTATTAGATGAATTTCGTTGAATAATGTTTAAATTAGACATGCAACTTTTTCCAATTATCATTTCCCGTCCCTCTTCCCTCTTTTTTTGATAAGAGGGAATCCCTCTTGCAAGTCTAGTTTAAATTTTATGCTGTTCTCTATGGAGTCCAATAATATGGACAGTAAGAGCTATTACTAGAGCAGAGATTCTTCGGGAATTCCCGAAGAAAATTAGTTAATAGAATGTTCGGGAATAACATCAAGTAAATATTGGATGTTATAATGGAGTAAAAATATGCCATTTTATTTTCCCGAATATTCCCGATTTTGACATACAGTAAAGGACCATTTGTGTGAAGTACCATTTGTGTGAACCAAAACCAAAATCCACACTCAATAAACATAACGTTAAAAAAGTATCAACTATGTGAACTGATCAATTGTGTGAACCAAATGCTAAAACCCAATCACTTCACCCAAATGATCTTTTACTGTATTTTAGGGGGGAAAATCCTGAAATTTTATTCAAAATAGGCTAAAACGCACTCTTTTTCAAGAAAAACTAAAAATATTGTTATAAATATCCACAAAATTTTGAGATAAAATGTCTAACAAAATATACGTTAAATTGGTTTGACCATGTTGAACGAATTTTCTTTCAATTTAAGAATATTCTTACAAATTGAAAACATACTTCAAGAGTTAAAGTTCAATTTATATGTCATTCTACCTACATTGTACAATAATTCATTTTAAAGTGATTTAAATCTATAATTATTGTGTTTGAACGGAATAAACGTTAATTCCCGAATATGACTGTTTTACTCCCGGTTCCCGACCGAATTTGGTTGTTTTTAATCCCGAATAATCTCTGCCCTAGCTATTACTCAAAAAGTACTTGATCAATTTTTAAAAAATAAACTTTATATACCAAATGGACTTAACATTGTCCATTGACTTAGCATTGCCCATGTTAAACCTATGTCATAAACTTATTACAATTGTTGTAAGTTACAACCTGTAACTATAATTTAGAAAAACAATTCCAGAAATTCTAATAATAAATCATTTCATACATCGCTTGCAATACTTGTATCAAAATTACTCAAAAAATGAATGAATGAATGCTATAAACAAATGAAATCATATTTTTACGTAAATTACAACAACAAAAACAATTAAAAAATTAATAAAAAGTGAATAAAACTTATAATTTCTTAAGTTATAAATATACAATTACATGTTGACAATATTTATATTGAGTTAAAATTAAATAATCGTAAAATTCAATCAAAAATTGCGTAAAAACTTAAAAATAAGAAGTTATACATATTATGTGAAATTATGGTAATTAATAATTAGTAATAATTAGCGTAAATAATAAACCAGTTATTCATTCAACACATTATTATCTGATAAGAAGAAAAAGTGACAAAAAGTTTTGAATGAATGC